CGAGATGGTTCCTTCGTGGTGCATCTTCCTTCAAGTCACTCCTCTATTGCCAAAATTTCTTACATGAACAAACTTCTACTTATAACTGCTATTTTTATTCTCGGAGATTGGCTATAAAGCACACAATCTTATAGAAGTTATACCTCTTTCTTGACTCAACATGGATGCTTGCTTAGCAAAATCATGGACAGATATTCATATTTTCATATAGCGTTCTTATGCAAAATCCCGTTTTCGAAATTTCATCTCTTTATTTGCCGTTCCAGCGGGTGTCAGACTTTACGGAGTCAGCGAATCGCGTGGCACGAGCTATGTGTCAGCAGGGTCAATGTGCTTCGAGCGAAATCGACAGTTGACCAGAGAAGAGGGTGGGTCTCATCCCGCAGGAAGGGAGGAGGATAGTAAGTGTAAACATGAGGAAAGATGCGGTGCCTGTTTGAGAGGACTTGGAGGGGTGACGCTGAGGTGATAGGAATTTGTGGAAAATAGATGCGTGCGCTTGCAATTCCTTGGCGATACGAGGAGCGGGAAAGCAGAAGGTAAGGGAGAAGAGAGAAAGAGGGAGGAAGGGGAGTAGAGAAAGGAAGGAGAACATGTTACTGCCATGCGTATAAGGGTATAAAAGGTGTAACACATTCAGTAGTGAAGTGGTAATCGAGTAGGGTCATCTGTTATTTCGTGATTCCCCCTACCCTGAGATGCGAGCGATGGCGGTCGGAGCAACACTGGTATAGAAACCAGAACTTTGGTGGTCGTTTGTCCGGTTTGTCGGTTTATGTCGGTTGTGGTATGTGTGTGTGTCGTTCTGTCCATCCTTCCGACTGGAACCGCTCACAAAATCAGGGAGTAAGAAGGGCAGCACTCAAAGATGTTGAATGTCATGAATCATGATAAACCCACAGGTATATATAAACCGATCGAGCACACTTCGATCTCATTCTACATGGTGCTGCCGTGGCAGCCGGCTGAACGTGGTGGGGGGGAGTGTAGAGGGAGAGGGGTAGAGGGAAGAGGGTAGAAGGAAGGGCCAGAAAGGGCAGACTGGAAGGGAAGGAGGGGAGAGAGAGAAAGAGGGAGGGAGGAGGGAGAGGAAAGGGACGAGAACATACTGTCATGCGCCATAGAGGAGAGGGATAGGAGGGCGAGGTGGGGAGGAGAGACGAGAAGAGAACGACCGTTTTTAAGGCTATGGTCTACATTCATGTTGACGTATTATTCTAGCCCGATGGTTGTGATAAAGCCACATGGCTACAAACCGAACGAGAAGCACACTCAGCCTCACTCTACATAGTGCTGGGTCCTCGTCGGCGGCGGTAAGGAGGAGAGCGAAGCAGAAGGGGAGGAGAGAGAGGCGCGAGAACATGGTGCTGCCATGCGCCGGAGGAAGGGGTATATGAGGTACCAGTTCAGCTTCGCAGCAAACCGCGCGCATCACATGTTGGCATAGTTGAAACTGGACAACTTGCTTAATATTAGGTCACGTGGCCGAGAAATTAACAGTAAGATGTTTGGAAGATGTGTCACATGAATTTAAAGGCCGTGCCAATTTTGCTGGAGGATTGTCGCGTAAACGCGCGAGTAGCATGCGGATGAAAAGTGCACTTATCATGGCTTCGTAAACACTTAGCATTGATACGAGCCAGATGACCTAGCGGTTTACGAATTTTCGCAATTGGAGAATCGGTGGTAAAGTGAAATATAAACAATCATCAGCATCTAACGAGCTGGTAGTGGAATTTGGAAATATAGTGGAAATTCGCTATTCGGTCCATTCGAGATAGTTTGGCAGCTCAACTTTCTTTTACTTCTCCAGATGGGAGTGTAATAATGGAACTCATTCACGTGCTAAAGAACCTGGTTCAGCCAAACTGAAGGCGCGCTGAACTGTCGCACTTTTATCAGTACAGTTGCCGCTCATACCCTTTCTGTCACCCTACATTCAACCTCGCCACTCTTGATCGCTGTCCAGTGAAAATTGCAACGAAGTTGTAGAGACCTGCATTTCAAACGCTCTTATCATTCCGTGTCATTTGTTATCAGTTCATACTGTCGCAATGGGTGTCCCTCTCCCAACCTCAGTCAACGTGTAGGAGCTAATATTTACTGTCACAACGAAGGCTGCAACGAATTCAGCAGTAGCTCAAATCCTACTCCTTATCGACTGTTATAGCTTGTTATCACTTTGATCATCACGCTATCCGTGTTTCCCGTCCCATCCCCTATACCCACATATGAGAGCCAAGCTTATAATGTAATCGCAAGGCCCGCAACGAAACTGGGGGTGTCCTCACTTGGACCCCCTTATCAGTTCTTACCAGTTCCTACCACATTTTTCCACTTCAACTTCTTGGTCCCCGCCTCACCCACAATCATACATGAGTGCAAACTCTCCACCATCAAATGCGAATGGTGTAACTAAACTGGTGACAATCAACATTTCGAACGTCCTTTATCAGCTCCTATCTGTACTTATCACTTCCCGGCACCCGTCATCACTGTTCACCTCTGGCCCCCTATATATCCTAGAAGTTTGGGCGCTCTGGTTCAAAGGGGGTGAAGTTATGAATTTCCGGTCAGACACACACAAACAACCGCTTAGCCGATTATATATCCTTCTATTTTATAAAGCGCTAACTTTGTGTGTCGGTTTGTGTATCTGTATGTGTTGTGTATGTATGTAGTGTTGTGTTCCGTCCGCAAAATGAAAGTGAGTTGAGAAGGCTACTTGGGATAAACAAACACCGCTTACAAATCGGTAGCTTAACGGATTTGAGATATCAATGTTTTAGCAGGATAGTTGTGAGAACACTCTCAGGGCTAATAAACACACCTGCTTAGCACACTTCCGTTCATTCCACAATGGTGCAGCATGGCAGCTGGAGGCAGTAGAGAGAGGAAGGAGAAGGATGAGGAAGGGAAGCGAAATATCTACACCGTCATATCATGATTGTGTCCTTCTACGGTTTGAAACACCCATTGTGTTGCATACGCGTCACTTCCACGAGGTGTTGGTGTCACAGGAGGAAGGGACCATAGCGGAGGATAGAAAGCTTGGCGCAGGCTAGGAAGGTCCCGGCGGTGACGGGGGACTAATCTGGTAGTAGGATAACACCATTCAATAGTGAGGTGCTTATGGCTACGTCATGCCTGCTATTCCGTGTGTCCTTTCCCTGTGATGGAGCGGAGCGAATCTGGTTTTCAAATGAAGTAAGGCATAAATTCAATCCCGGCTCGTATCTTTGAAGACGCACAGTGATTCTCGATTCTATTAGTGGTCCCATAAGTTTTGCAACAAAATGGCTTAATTTTGACTTCAACATTTTTGTTATCTTTTTGTTCCAGCTCATCCAGCATGATACACACCAATCATATCCTACAAACCATTGTCAACGCACCAGAAGCTGTTCGATGCGGTGAAACTCCATTCGGGGGGGGCCACTCCATTTTTTCTCCAATACTCAAGATAAGGATTAGAGGGCTCACGACACGTAATCGACTCATTTAAAGTAGATTTCTGATAAATATTGGTGTAATGGGTGAGAAACCCTGAAACGTTTTCACATTTTCGCCTGCCATGACCCAAGGGAACGGTCCTGGACCAGGAGAAAGGACACCTTCGCAAAGGACCAAGGGTGTAGGAGCTGCAGGGTGGATCACCTGCGCAGAAAAGTGGATGGGATGTGGGCAGGTAGTGGGGAATTTAGGACATCCACCGGTCCTCATCGTAAGTACGCTCGAAATGAGTCATTCACTTATTATCTTATCCGTACTGTTCGATAGACCAAAGAACTGCTCTCTAGTACTACGGATAAGATAGCAATGGAGTGCCCCCCCCCCGAACTGGAGTTTCACTGTTCGATGCCTCTCTTGTAGAATTTCGCTGAATGCTAATCGAGGAGAGATCAGGTGTCGATTTTGACATCACGATGGTTAGGACGAGATTTCTTTTCTAGAACCTGATCTGGAGAGGGATGCAGGTGGGCATCCCTTGGTTCGAGGTCGGAGCTGTAGGGTGTATGCAAATGAACTTTTTGTCAGAAAGTTCTAAAATTTCTCTGGATTTTCTTAGCAAGAGGTGGTTCAAGGGTGTCATGAAAAAGCAAATTTTGCATTGGTTTCCTTCAGTAATGAAAGCGTTGCATTCGAGTTGTGGACTGTTGACTTCCGCGATCACTGCGACATCTAAATGTAAGGGTTATCAGAACTCAACCCCTCTCGTATTCCAACAAAAATACAAGAAGGCCCTACTTGGACGAGGTTGAAGTTGAGCAGTAAGAACTCCCGAAGCGTTTGAGCTAGACTGTCGTCGTCTGTTTATTGGTTAGCATCTGTACCCCCTCCTTATCGTTGGCAAATATGGTGGATAGTCAGTCGAAGAATTCATAGTAACCCGACTTGAACATGATGATGCCATATCGTGTTTTGGGCTGATTTGGGCTCCAGGCATGTGTTTCCAAACTCTATATTCTCGGACCTTTACAAATCTTTGGAGATGCTACAGTGCTATGTCCTTGTTGCATCAAAATTGCTCTGACAAATGATCGTTAGTCCATCCAAATCCCTTTTCAGCAGCGCATGATAGAGCATCGTGATTGTCAGTTACGGAGTGGTTAGAGTGTGGATCATATTCAAATAAAAAACTCACTTCAACAGTAAACAGAGTGAGACGCCTGTGCACCGCGAATTGAGAGAGCGTGTTCTCGCCCATCTTCTGGCTAATCCTTGGTGTAGCCTGACTTGCGGAACATTCCAAGCAGTACTCATAAGAATTATGAGCACGAAGACCTTTTCGCGAAATCGATGTAATATCCACAACAAGTAGCGAGACAATGAGCTGGATGGTTGGCTGAAACTGCAAAGGTGGATGCTATGTAAGCAAACGTGTTGCGGATTGTTCGGAGTTCTCACAAAAATTTTCCAGCACCGAATGTAATTTGTTGCAAGACTTATGGAGCAACCTAATATAATGTTGAAGAAGACAAACCGAGAAACATAACGCCTTACTCATTGCCCTCCATCGTTGAGTCAAATCCTCCACCAGTAGCAGTCGCCAAACTTCGACTTGTGTATTGTGCAGTACTTTCAGGCAAAGGTGGTACAAAGGGTGGAGTAGTACGAGGAATGGGTTTAGAAGATTTCGTTTCTGGAGGAGCTGGTCTAGGAACAGGCTTGGTTCTAGGCAGAGAAGTAGGACGAGGCGGAGCATTCGTCTTTGGGCGTCTACCAACAGTTGGCTTCGTGGACGGGCCGGGCTTAGGAGGTGTTTTTAAAGGAGGTTTGTGAGTACGTTGCTTAGCTTTTGCAGGTGTATGTAGAGGCTCCGGTTTTTTAGGCTTTGCAGGCTTATGTGTAGTCTTCGGATTCTTGGGTTTTTCAGGCTTATGTTTAGGCTTTGCATCTTTAAGTTTTTCAGGTTTATGTGTCGGATTCTTGGGTTTTTCAGGTCTATGTGAAGGCTTCGGTTTCTCATGTGGTCCAGTTTTATGTGGAGGCCCCGCTTTGTTGCGTTTTGCCTCTCTAGGTGAAAGCCTCTTCTTCTGAATTCCTGTGTCTCCTTGCCGGCTTGCTTTCTCAGCTGTATTGTCGGTATCTGGACGCTTCCTTTTCGTAGGATGTTGAGGTAGTTTCTCACTTGAATGAGCAGCTCTGTGAAAACGCATAGGTAGAGAAGTATCTACTGAAGGGTCCTCTGGTTTCTGTGTAATGGCTGGTATAGTGTCAGGTTCAGTAACGGAAGAAGAACTTGAGAATGTTCCCCCCTCCGGATAAGAGAGAGGTGCAGACTTCGCCTTCAAAAATCTAAGATTTGATGACGAATATTCTTCGAGTGAACGGATCACTGTAGAAGTTAGAGAGTAGTTTCTCGTTTGTGAGATTGAGCTCCTAACTGTGGAAGGCTTGTGCATGTCTGCTGTTCGTCTCGAGTTTTTGGTGGCTTCTTTGCGCAATCCCGATTCTAGTGGAAAAAGGTGTCCGCGAAATCCTGCAAATTAGTTTCTCAATCAGCTTTGATTGTAGATGTAAACGAGGACAATATTCTCCACGAGTCAAAGCGATGCAATGCCTCCTGCCACGAATAATGTCTTGAAAATAAGGAGAGGACCGTTTTTTAGCGAGCACCCGGAACGACTGGATACATGGACTTGCCGTTTTAGCCCCACGCATACTCAAATGGTGCACTGCCTAATCAACTCGTAAGGGTGACTACCATTGAGCGAGGAATGCTCTCACACTGTTCGTAAAGTCCCAAAGCTTTCGTAGCATTCCGACCGTACATGCGGTCAATTGAGTAAGCGAATAGGCGGGTAGGCGATAAGGCCGCGTTCATAGTTCGCGACACCGGAGATCAGGATAGTAGGATAGTCGGAGAGTAGGATAGTAGGATACTGAGCGACTGGCGATACGAGAGTAGGAGAGTAGGATAGTAGTAGAATGCGCTGACAAGATTAGATACGTATCGACTGAAATCGCCGGAGAGTAGGATATTACGTTATTACGATAGTAGGATAGTAGTAGATTCCGCTGAACAGATTAGATACATATTGATCAGGATATTAGGATAGTACGATATTAGTAGAGTACGAGATTAGGATAGTAGGATAGTAAGCGACTACAAATAGAAAATCAATACTCCTATTATGCCTGTTTTCTTTTCCTGCCTATTTGTCCTTTGCTTTTCTACTTTCTTTTCTTGAGTTCTCTTGCTAGATTAGGTCACAATTGAATTTCCTGTAAATCCAACAGACTCCTTCTGATCGGTAGCCACGTGTCTTACGTGGGTGTTGATGACTCTCAGCCGTGTACGCAAAAATTCATTCTACTCTCTTGGACAAGATACCTGTAACTCTGCGGTTGTCCCACTTCACTTAATTTTCGAAACACCAAAATTAATGTTGCACAAGCTGCAGGAGAGGGGTGGTCAGCTAATAGGTGCAACGGCGCTCATGTCCTGGGGGGAGGGGGAAGGAAACATCAACAACAAGGCCGATGGCAAGTGACAGTAGGACTAAGCTCAGGAGAGGGGAGAAACGCCACGGAGCACACATATTGCTTGCATCTTCCCATAAAATCACTTCCCTGCCTAAGGCTCAGTCCCAAGTACAGTAATCGGCTCACTCACTGGGATGTCCCCCCCCCCAAGGAAATAGCGCCGGTGCAAATTGAGCTCTAGGTAATTAAGGATTTATGTAAATGTTCACAAGGAAACAAAATATTAGTTTATTCATTTAGGAGAGAAAAAAATCATGGAGACACAACGTGGAGCCATGAAAACAACCTAGTTTAGCCCAAAATTCGGAAACAATGCCAACTTTTATAATTCAACTGGTCGCTCAATATCCTACTCGCCAGCGATTTCAGTCAATATGTATCTGATATGTTCAGCGGAATAGCCTACTATCCTGGTTCGCGTACTCTACTACTATCCATATCGTAATATCCTACTCTCCGGCGATTTCAATCGATGCATATCTAATCTTGTCAGCGCACTATCCTACTCTCCTACTATCCTAATCGCCTACTCTACTACTATCCTACTATCGTAATATCGTAATATCCAAGTCTCCAGCGATTTCAATCGATACGTATCTGATCTTGTCAGCGCACTATCCTACTCTCCCACTATCCTATTCTACTACTATCCTAATCTCCCCGTCAATACGTATCCTTTTCATTGTCGCGCACTATCCTACTCTCCGGAGTCGCGAACTATGAACGCAGCCTAAGGCTAGTAGGCAAGTAGACGATAATAGAAGGATACGTATTGATTCCTCCGCTCTGCCCACTGAGCACTCACCTAACCGCCCAATCATCCACACGCCAAGTCGCCTAATCGCATACTCGCCGTCGATACGTATCCCTTTCCTTTCCCTTTCCGCCTAATCATCTAATCGCGAGTACGATCGCCTTCCGATCGATAATCTTGATTTCGATGTATTCCTTCCACTTCTTGATATTTTTTGTGCCGTTCATATTTGTTGTTTTCATTTGTGTCCTTTCTGCTCATACCTTTTCTTTTTTGTCTTGATTAATATTTTTCAGTTGCGTCTCGGACGAATGACGTCGTACAACTTTGTGTGAACATGTCCATAAGTCCCAAGGAGAGTTCATCATGCGCAATATCGTTTATTCGAATAAATTCTAGGACTTCAGAGGTCGCACTTTTTCATCGAATTCCTGCTGGTGTGCAAAAGGACGCTAGCCACAGGTAATTTAATTAATAGTTGGTGCTAATTGTTCAAATGAACTGTGTATTTTCATAAGTTGGTTATTCAGTGATAAGGTGTGTGTGGAGGAGGCCGCGTGCCCTAGGAACCAAGTTTGTGGCCTCCCTCACAGACTTTGTCAACAAAAAACCAACTTCTAAAAACGCTATTCATTAGGAACAATTAGCTTCGCCTATTAATTAGCTTACCTAGAACTGGACGCTTTCTGTTGGAGAAATTCAACTTCTAAAAACCCAGGGTGCACTCAAATGAACAAATCGCACATGATGAACTGACAATGGGCCTCATAGCCACGTATGCACGCAGTCTATCCACGCCGACTCTTTCGGGGTAACTGAAAAATATCAATTCTTCTATTTCATAAACCGCTAACTTGGTGTGTATGTATGTCGGTATGTATGTATGTATGTACAGTCGATATCTGAAAGTTGGGGTAGGTGTGTCACCGGAAGTGACCTGCACGTGAAAGTGCGTGGATAAGTTGTTGCCAGCATGCTTTGCTGATATCCAGCGATATATGTTGAAAGCAGCTCATCTACATACCTTCTATCAGAGCACGTCAATTCCGGTGACAGGCCAACCCCAACTCCTACATCGAGTATATTAATATCTCGTATCTCGGAGTTTTGTGTTAGCCGTGTACGGTGCTTAACTAAGCTTGGGGACAACGCAAGCGGCGCGGACGCATTGCTTCGCCTGGCACCTTTGCGTAGCTTTCGGTAATCCAGAGCCAGGGGATGTAGGGCGTGGGGGGGTAGGGTAATCAATCATTATATTCTATTGATGTGAAAAGCTAGAAGTGTCAACGTTTCACAACTGTCTCGCCGAGAATGCGCCAGGCGACGCAACAAAGCGCCGCGCCGCCGGCGTGGCTCCCCCAATAAAGTAGCAACCGGCGTGTCACCCGAAGTGACGTGCCCTATGACTAGAAGCATATTAAATAATTGCTTCCGAACATACATCGCTGGTAATCAACAAAGCATCTGGCAACAGCTTATTCAGCAACTTCTATCAGTGCAGCGTCCATTTCCGGTGGCCCCTTACCACAACTTTCTCGATATCGATTATATGCTCTCATCGTCTCAACAGCCGCAATATGTCATGAGTGATAACGGCAATCTAATGGAATAAACAGCCGTTAATAAAACTGACTGCGTCACAGGATTAGCTATCAATGTTTTGTAATAGGACCATTTAGCTCGCTGCCCGCTACTGCGCGCATTGATAGAAGCTGACAATCGACTGAAAGCTTTAGTTTCAACCGCCAAATCCTAACAGAGCTGTTCTTAATGTATTAACTGTCACTTGCATGCCACTGTATCCCACTGTTTGTAAGCGCAGTGAATGTGCACAGGCTAAAGTGATGATGTTAAACAATACTATGCGTCGAGAATCGAGGTAATCATCGGTACGAATACCTCAAACGGAACTCCCCATATTCGTTACCCGAGCTAGCTCCGCCCGTACCTGCGCCATTGTTAGAACGGACAACTGATTCAGCTTTAAGTTCACGACACTAAATTTAGCTTGCTTCGTTTAAATGTATTCTGTCCGTATCATAGGCTGTGCCCATTTTGGCTGTATTTACTGTTGATAAGCACATGTGAAAGTGCACGCTAAAACTGAAGAGAAAACATACTACTAGCGTCGAGTAATTCGTAGGAATTTAGCGCGTCGAATATTCAAATACGGTAATGCCCAGTATTCATTATCATATTTATTCAAGCATTCCCCATGTCACCTCTGCTAAAGGTTCAAGCGTGGAAAGTTGAGTTACAACATTTATCACACACGCTGATTAAATGATACTCGAACATTACGTTTATTTAATTTATTCTATTTATTACGTTGCTTAAGGCCAATCGTGGAAATACAATCGTAATAAATCACTTCATGATATTAAAACCAAAATTAAAACTCATGCATCATTCTCAACGAAATGAAAGCATTATCTAACAATCTACTTCTCTGTTCTCTATTTCAGTGCCTCTAACGTTTGTAGCTCATGTCGTCAATAATCAGTCTCATAAGTCGTTATCACATTTGACTCCCACCAACATTTATGCTTGCGTCCTCACCCCCTAATACCTGTCCCAAAATCAGCTCCTGACAACTGATGCGGAAGCGCATTATAGATTTCGCAACACTTGCGTTGTAGGAGCGCCTTTTTATCATCCTTACTTTTGATCACTTTTCTTACCTTACCAAATATTTCACCGTTCCACACCCCTATATCATAACTTCGAAACGCAACTCCTGGCGACACGCACTGGTGCCGCTATAATTTCGCGGTCAGACAATGAGCAAACACATCCACACACACAGACACACACACAACCGCTTAGCTCGAATTATTATACTATTAAGACTCAGTTTGACTCCGGTCACGCAACCGCGCTGCGCATTCAAATGGTGGCTTTTATGAAACTGGACCT